GCAGGTAAGCTGCTCCAGCCACCGCGCCTGGGGCCTCCCGGGTTCCTGCCCCGCCGCCTGCAGGCCTCCGGCACAAATAACCCTTGCGCTCCCTCCAAAGTAAAGAAAGAGGGTTCACTGCTAAGGAGGGGACCTGCCCTCACCCACGGAGGGACTGAGGATGCTGGCCAGATTCCCGCCCTAGAAAGGGATTCTCCCTCTCCCTGATTGGCTGAACTCTCTGGCTTCCTGGGGCCGCGCTGGGCGGAATGCGCCTGGACGGGTCCCTGGAGGAGTCCTGCACTCAATCTTTAGGGCCCTGGCAGGCTAGCTGTCCTGCCCTGCCCATCCTGAGGTGGCCAGGAGACCCTGCCTGCTCACATTGTCCCTTTAAGGCAGGGATGGGGTGGGGCGGGGGGAAGGCGAGCCCCTACACAGTCATAGCAACCCCTGGTCCCCAGTGGTTCCCTAATCTCTGACCCATCATTCAGCTCAAAAGCCCTTCAGGCCTGGCCCATCCTTCAAGGCTGTGAAGGGTCTGCTCTGACACCGCCCCCCACAAAAAATTCCGAAACCATGGGCTGTTTGGTCCTCCAAGGTGCTTTGTGAATGCCAGCAGATACCAGCGCCCCCTGCATCCCAAGGAGGGGACAAGGAAGGGACGTGGGGCTGTGGTGTGGTTTTGTGGAGGTGCCAGGTTAGTTGCAGAGCCATTCCTTGGGCACCTACTAAGTGAAGAATGAGTTCTCACCCACCTGGTTCTTGGGCAGACCGACTGGGCACTTCTCCAGGACAGGGCCTTGGGCCCTAGGACCTCGCTCCCTGCCATGTGGACCCCCCAGATGGGAGGTTCTGCTCAGTTGGCCTCAGTGCCTGATGAGTTCTGATCCTGGGGATTGCCGGGTGCAGTGAGTGCCCACAGTATGCCAGGCCTGAGCTGGGCCCTGGGAACACAGGTGTCTCTTGACTGTGGGTGCCCTCAACCTGTGGCAGTCCCGTGCCTTTGCAGCCTACTCTTGTTGGGTCTGAAGGTCCCTGAGGGCAAGGCTTGGCTTGCTCCCCTGCCCCTCCTAGACTTGCTTAGGCCTGAGTCATGGCCCCTCCCCCTGACTGGGGAGGGTCAGTCCAAGTGGAAGCTACCAGGGCCACCCCATTGGCCCACTCCTGTTCTCAGCATCCCACCCGGCTGAGGGAGCAGGAAAGGTTCTTCTGAGGCTGCCTGGGTGGGGTGGTGGGTCTGTCAGGCCCTCCCTCGTCACACTTTGGCTATTGCATCATAGCTTGGAAACCCTGAGGTTGGGCCATGGGCTGTCCCTTCGAAGGATGTTGTAATCAGACTTGGACTCAAGGGTGCCTACAGTGAATGTTGGGAGAGCAGCTCCTTAGAACGTCAGAATTAGGTCAGCAGACCATTCCTCGCCGGGTCCCAGGCCTGCAGGGCCATCGCCAAAGGGGCTCAGCAAAGAGCCAATGCATTTGTCTCCACCACCAAGCCCAGCAAGACGGAAGCTTCAGGGCTCCAGGAAGCCAGCAGCCTCTCTTGTCCCTGCTCCCCAGGTGGGCAGCCCTGGGAAAGACCAGCCCCTCCTAGTCTTCCTGGGAAACCTGTAGGGTATGTGCTCAGCTCCTGTTGAAAAGGCTGGTGGTTCAAGGTCCTGCGGACCAGGTGATCTACTTGCAAAAAACCCAGCCCCGGAGGGGCAGTTCTCTTGAACACCCATTAGTTCTGGGGGCATCGGAGGGGCTCACCAGCTCCAGGCTTAGCTGAGGGTTGTCGTAAGGACTGAGTTAGCGTGGGGAGTGAGGCCCCGTGCCTGGCCTGTCAGAAATGGAGACCCTGCCCTACCCCAGCCCTCGACTCTGTGGCTCAGCTGCCTTGGCCACAGGGTCATCTGCATTGTCCTTGAGGGCATCTTCCAGTGAGGCTGACATGCCCCACTGAGTCCAGTGGTCACAGCCCAGACTTGCTTTCCTGTGGAGTATTTATCTGTGTAGCTTGGAGCTGCTCAGGCATGATGCGGGTAGGGAGCCCACCTGGGGGTCAGTAGTGGGGCTGTGGGACTGGGCACAAACCCCCCCCCTGGGCCCACTTTAACACATGCCTATCTGTGGCCAGGGGCCTTGGGCATGTGGTGTGATTTCTGGGTTCTTGTCCTTCCTGAGCCCCAAGGTCCTCCCAGGAAGCCGTGGGTGGGGCTGAGGCTAGAGGCTGTCACCACAGTCCTAACAGCCTGGCCAAGTGTGGCCTTTAGCTCCAGCCTCCTGGGACCCTCACCCAACCCATGGTGAGGAGGGCAGGGCAGCCAGGACGGCAGCCCTGTGCTCTCACGCACCTGGGGCACCCCAGGCAGTTGTTAGGATGAGAGGGCGGCTGCTCACAGCCCCCATGCCCTGGCCTCCTCAGGCTTCTTGCGACAGACCAGGGACCATCCCCAGGCAAGCAGCCGTCTCCCGAGTGTCTCTGGGCAGCTGCTGACCAAAGACCTGTGTGTGTGGTTGCCCAAATCTAAAGTTAACCCAGCCTCAGGCTGGGGATGTATTCCTTTGACCTCGGGAAGTCCCACTGTTCTTAGCACAGTGGCGGTAGTAGTGGTGGTGGGGCGCCTTTCTAAAGACAGTCTACTGCCCCCTGCCTGGAACCTGAGAGCGCCAGAACCCGGCGGTCAGAATGGACTGCGTCCTGGAGAGAGGTGTTTAGTCCTCAGACAGGGGCAAGCTCCCAGGGATCTGGTGGCCAGCCCCTCCTCCCACATGATTCTAGCCTGTGACTGAGCACAGGGTCTCCCTCACCTGCCGTGGGGCTGCTCAGACTTGCAGGACAGACGTTTGGGTGGGAAGTCCCCAGGATTACAGGGAGCCCTGCAGCATCCCTGGCCCGCCCATGGACAGCAGCCCCAGAGCTGTGTGTGTGTGTAAAGGGGATACTGCTGTGCTCAGAGGGGCCGGTAAGCCACTAAACCCTGCTACACTGGGAACGGCTGGAGGCGCCCTGCTCTGAATTTGACAGTAGGCTGGCCTCCCAGTCCCTGTCGCCCCACCCCCACCCCATGCAGGGGGCTGCTGCCAGGAGCCCCAGTGTCCATCTGGCCTCCCCTGCTACCCCAGGGTAAGGTGTGGAAGGGGAGTGGGTCCTAGGCTCTGGGGTTCAGGGAGAGCACAGGCCTCCTAGGACCCCTCATATGCTTCTCTGGGGAGAACGTGGGCAGCCTTGCCTCCTGTTCTGCAGAGCAGCGGGTGGGTGGCGGCTCAGAGCACAGCCTTCCTTCTACACTGCTGCCTCCCTGCTAGCCCCTCAGCTCCCCCCTCCGGACAAGCGCTGGTGGACTGGGCTGACAGTGGCCAGGGGCCCAGCTCGGGGGCCCAGCGCCTACTGGAGCAAGCTGCATCTGCTTCCTGGGAAATGGAGAAGCTGCAGCGGCCCAGGCGGGTGCAGCTCCCAGTCCTGCAGAGGGCTGAGCTCAGCAGCAGGAAGTTGCAGCGCAGGGGCCTCCCCCAGCTCCCAGCAGCAGGGGCTCCCTTCCAGCTGGGACTGCTGGCCCCACCACAGCCGGCCTGCCTAGAGACTCAGCACCAGCCATGAGGCCTCTCACGGTGTGGGGCAGGGTTCCCCAGCGATGGGGTCTGGCGGCAGCTGGGAGCCTTGGCTCCCAGACCCCAAAAGGGCTTTGGGAAGAATGGGTTCAGGAAAAGAATGTTTTATTTCCATAAATACTCTGGCTTTCACTCACAGGGAGCCCACTGCTGACCACGGACAGATGGACGGACAGAGAGGAGATGCCTTTAGGGTCCCCAAAGGGGCCAGGGCAGAGGGGGCGGGCACTATGAACCCAGGTGGAGCCCCGGCCCACAGTCACAGCCCCTCTGGAGGCGGGGGTGGTGGTGGGGAGCCCCTGGGAGGAGGAGGGGCAGCTGGGGTGAGTCAGCCTCCACCACCCCTGAGACCTTGGCCACAGGGCCCACTTGGATACAAAAGCAGTCAAAGCACACAGCAGAGAAGTGCAAACAGTTAGGGGTGCACACGCGACCCCCACATTCACCCGGTCCCATGGAGGAGGCCTGAGCTGTCCTTGGCTCCAGCCTGGCCCCCCAAGTTATGGCTGGGCCTTCCCATAAGGCATAAGAGACAGGCAGGGAGGGTCCCAGGCTGTAGTTGGGCTGGGCCTGCAGTCCTGGCTTCCCCGACGGCCCCACTCCCTGTCCAGGACCCTGAGTCCTTCTGGGGCTGGGCAGCCATCCGTGCCCAGGCTCACACTGCGTGGTGCCCCTGCAGTGCAAACCCAGACCCAGCCTCCTGCTGCTGAGTCTGGCTCCGCAGGGGAGGAGCTGGAGGCAGGGGAGGGAGGAGCTCCAGCTCCCAGGCCTGCTCTAGAGGCTGCCCCAGGTCTCAGGTGGGGGGAACTGGTCCACATCCCCCATCTCGTGGTAGGTCTGCTCCCCCATGGTGAAGAGCAGCTTGTAGCGGAGGCGGACCTTCTCCTGCGCGAGGGAGGGGGCAGTAGGGTGTCAGGGCAGAACCCCACCCCCCACCCACCCACCCCACCCCGCCCTGCAGAGCCCAACCGGCTGGCCATAGGACCCTCACCTTCTGGGGGTTGGCAAGGAGCAGAACCTGGGTGAGTGCTGTCGGGTGGACGAGGGGGTTGAACGCTGGCAGCTCAGAGCCCGAGGGAGGCTGCAGCCGGACTTTCATGATCTGTAAGCAGGGGCCGACGGGCCAGCTAGCGTGGCTTCCCCTCAGGGTGCCCTCCATCCCACCCCACCACACCTGCATTGTCCTCGTCACCTTGGGGACAGCCGACTGGAAGACAATGTTGCGGATGGGCTGGGGGGCAGTGCTCAGCATGGATACCACCACCACCAGCACATCTGAGCGGCCCGGCAGCGGGTCACGGGCGAAATGGAAGAGGACTCGGAAGCCATGCTGGTCGTACACAGTTACAGGCAGGATGCTGCCTGCAGGGGGAGGGGAGGAGAGTCTCACACAGACAGGGCCACTAGTTATGCCCTTGCCTCACCCCGGGGGAGCCTAGAGGGCAGGACTTTCCCAGCCAGGGGCCCACTGTTCCCTGGGTGGTCTGGGTACAGCCACTCAACTTCTCTGGTAAAATGGGGCATACTCCCCACCTCCTGGGGACATTGGGGGTGTGACACCTCAGGGGCCAGCCAGGTCACAGGTGGACCTGCCTTCCCACAGGAAGGCCTTGTGCCCGCAAGCCTGCTGCCATGGCCCTGCGAGTCCAGGCAGCTAAGGACTCCCCCAGCGTACCCCAGAGCCAGTCAGTGGCAGGGCTGGGCACGGCTCCCCTCCCTCTGGGAGCACTCACTGGGCGTGATGGACTCCAGAGGCACGGTGATGCTGGCCAGTGCCACCTCGGGGGGTGCGGGCAGCTGCGGGGGCCCGGGAGGCTCTGGGGGCGCGGTGGGGGGGAGGCTGGGGGTGCTGGCTCCGGAGCCGCTGCTGCTCTTGCTCTGTAGGTCTCGCAGTGTGAGCCGGGGGGCTGGCGGCTGCTTCTCCCTTGGTGGGGGGCAGAGCGTCCAGTCTTCATGGCCTGAGACCCTCAGTGCAGAAGCAGGCCACCAGTTCTGTCCCTGGCTGTGGGCTCAGCAGCAACCCCATCACGCCCACCCCGCTGCCCTTTCTGCTCTGTCCTTTCAGGCCCCGTCTGTCCCCTGGGCCCTGCAGTCTCTCTCACATAAACTATGCTCCGTGGGGGGCTCTGTGCCTGTCTGCTGTCCCCTGGACACAGCTTCCCTGGAGGGTCTGAGTGGGGTCCTCACCACCGCACTTGCTGGGATTCGGGGGGCAGCGACTGCTGCAGGAGGGTCTTCCCCAGGAGATCCAGGTCATCCAGAGCACTGCTGGCTGGCAGGGGAGGCGGCTGGGCGGGGGGCTCGGCACTCTCCGAGGACTGTTGAGTACACAACCAGGCAGGCACGTGGGGCTGGGCTGAGGTGGCAGTGACACCTGGGAAGCAGCGGGGGCGGGGAAGCCCGCTGTCCCGCCCACCACACAGACGGCTGGGATGGCAGCAAGCCTGCTGGGCCTAGGACCCAGCCCAAGGTCAATAGGGGGCTGGGCCTGGCCTGTGGCTCTGCTCCAGGTGCTGCCCCCTTCAACGGAAACCCTTATCTCAACCCCCAGGCTGGCCTGGTGAGATGCAGTTGGGGTTAGGGGTGCCACTGCCCTCGGCCCTCCTGCACAGGCCTGGCCTGGTTCCCTTCCAGGCTTTGGGTGCGAGCTAGGATGCCAGCCCCCACCTACTTGGAAGCTGTGCCATCCGGTGCTGTCCGAGTCTGGGCCTGAAGGAGGTGTGGGGTCACTTAGGCCTGAGGGGACAGAGATAAGGAAGCCACACCTTAGCTGGGGGGCTCTGGGCTGGGGCTCCCTGTCCATAGCTTTTCACTTCCTGTGTCCAAGAAGCTCGGTTTGAAGGGGAAAGCCCACACTTCCCGTGGGAGTCGGCATGCAGATGTACAGGCACACTGCTAGCCCATCCTGCCCCCAAGCTCCACTCCACACAGACACAGGGATGGGGCAGGGTCGAGGTGCGCTTTGGAGTCCATGGGCCCACTGCAAGGTGCTCCATTGGCTGCGCCTCCATGTCCCTCTGTGCCCCAACAGGGCTGGGTTGGCCCCGTCAGAGACCACCGTAGGGAGTGGCTGAGGAGAACAGGTGAGGGCTCATGGTGCGTGAGGGCCGGCCCGCTGGTTGCACCTCTATCCCACCACAGGGGTTGGACTTTGGCAAACTTGTGCTATTGCTGGCAACTCAGGAGAGCTTGGGGTCTGGTCTGCTTGGTCCCACTCAGGACCTACCCCAGGCCACTAAGAGTGGGGGTGAGGAGCATGTGGTGCAGGAGGGTGCAAGGGGACCAGCAATAATCAGTGGCCCCAGGGTGGGCGAGAGGATTCTGATGTTCAGGGGACGTGTGGCTGCTGTGACGGGTGACGAGAACAGAATGCATGGGACACGGGCAGACTGGAAATAGCCAGTGTCTTCTTACTCAGAAGGCGCTACCAATCTTGTTGCAAGGGCACGGATGGACGCCAACTTCCGGTGTGCAGGCAGAGAGCATCCGAATTAAAAGGGAAAAGAGAGGAAGAGGAGGTAGACGATGACGACAGAGGGGTGAAGTCACTTGTCCAAGGTTACACAGAAAGTGGCAGAGCCTGGACTTGAACAGCACAGGGCAAAACTGCTGAAGCCTGAACACGGTTCTGCCCCATGGTGCTGTGACCTTGGGCTGGTGGGTGGGGAGACGGCTCGGCCCACAGCCCCTCTGCAGGAGGAAGACAGGCCTTCTGTGTCCCCTGCAGAGTTACAGCTGCTCCGAAGCCCCTTGGAGCTCATCTCTGTGGTGGAACTGACTGGGTGGCAGTGGGTCTGGCTCGCTGGGCTGGCGCACTGGGTGGCACACTGAACTGCTAACTGCAAAGGGCAGTGTCTGGGGCCCAGCAGTTGCACGGAGGGAGGAAACTCTGAGGCAGCTCCTCTGTCCGATCCGTGGCAGTGGGTTTGGTGTAGTCCCCTCGTGTGTAAAGTGGAGGGGACAGTGTCATCCGAGTTAGAGTCCTTCTGAGTGAGAGTCAGTCTGATGCAGTTCCTGGCAGTGTCTGGCACCGTCTCTGATGACCAGGAAGTGGGCCTGGGAGGGTGGGAGCAATGTGCCAGGGGCCCAGCTGGGCAGTGTGGTCAGTCTGAGGTCCCATTTCCCCTCAGCCTCCCCGCCACGGGGTTGAGGGTCAGGACAAGTTCTGTGGTCCCCGGGCGGCCTCCCCCTGCTGGGGGGCCAGGTGCTGCCCAAGCGTGCTGCTTCCTGTTCCCATACCCTCTGTGCCTGAAGATGCTGGGGTTCGGGGACAGGAAGTGGAGAACACCCCTCGATTTGCTCAGAGCTATTTTCTCCCAGCTGGGGAATTGGCCTGCCACTGGACCACCCTCCATCTGTCAAAGGGGTGCGTGTGTGCGCCCACGCCAGCCCTGGGCACAGACGGAGGGGGACAGGTAGGCAGGGTTGTGGGTAGGGCCCTGGACATCCTGTGGTCAGACCCTCATCCACTGAACTCTTTAACAGAGTTGCCTTGCTGTGACACCAGTTGTTGGAGCAGCAAGGGTTCAGGGTGTGGTTCCCAGATCAGAGGCTGGTCCCCTACTGCCTGCGCCCCTTTAAATAGCTCTGTAACTTGGCACAACTTAACAGGAGTGTCTGGCTCGGCCCATAACGAAACCCAGCCACGCCAGGTGCTGCCCCTGTGTGTCAGGGCAGACTACCAGGCCTTTCTTCTGCAGGGCCTCTGTGCCAACCTTGCGGTGAGCAGTCAGAGGGGCCGACCCGGCACCACCCAGCCCTGGCTGTCAGGCCTGCAGCTCTGCACTCCACAAGCACCTCAGAGGCACGCAGCCGTCCCTCAGGATACCCGACAGGCCCAGTCCTCTGGGCTGTCAACACTTCCGGTGCTAGGAGGAAGAGGGGGACCTCCTGCCTCGACAGCTGAAAGTTAAGCTTGGCTGGGCTGCCTGGAACCCCCTACAGTGTCCCCAGAGTATATCTGGTATCTGGCTGGCCTCTAGTCCAGGCTCTGTCCTGGTATCAGCAGGCTGGGGTCAGGGGGCTTGCCCACTGTCCCAATGTCCCCCCTCTTCTTCTCAGTGGGTAGGAATGGGCTGGACCTTATCTAAGCTGCCTAATCAAGAGGTGTTCTCTGTGGAGCCCCCGCCCCCGCCCCGCTGGCAGTCCCAGAACAAGAGCAGTGTGGGGGCCGCCGGGGCTGCCCTCCTCACCCAGAGACATGAGCTCATCATCCAGCAGGGAGAGCGAGGCGCTGGGCTGCTCTGGGCTGGTCTGGCTGCCAGGGCCCGTGGATGCGGCTGGGTAGGTGGTGCCGGCAGAAGGGAGATCCAGGCCTGAGAGGTCCAGCAGGGCTGAGGTGCTCCCTGGGGGGGTGGGGGGAAGTTGGGCAGGTCCTGGGGGTACCTTCGCTCCCCAGGCTCCTGCCTGCCATCCCTGCCCTCCTATAGGGAATGCCCGGCGTTCTCTCTTCTTTGCTGGCCACCGCTCTCCTCCTTCAAGCCCCTGCTACACGTGTCTGTGTCTGTGCAGCATGCTCCCCCCAGCCCCGCCTCTGTCTGAGGAGAGCCCAGTCTCTAAGGCTCCCTCTGCCCTCGGAGAACTAAGCAGGAGCCTGATCTGTCTGGGACAGAAAAGCCTGCCTTCTCCACACATGCTACACCGCCCCCCCCTTCTCCCTTACAGCTGCAGGCTTGGCACCGCCATCCCCCAGCTCCCTCCCATCCCAGGACCTTCCCATCTTAAGGGGCTAGAGCCACCCTGCCTGCCCTTGTGGCCACCAGTTCTGAGGGGAACGCCCCTCAAGCCCCTCACCAGGGATTGGGCCGGCCGCAGCGGCATCACCATTGACCTCCTCGCCTTGCACCAGCTGCTTGTACAGGTTGATGACCCGCGTGAGGTTGTCGTTGGCCTGCAGGATCTCCGCTGGAAGGCACAGCCTGGTGTGAGGGGGCCAGGGAGGAGCCTCCCACGCCATCTGCTCCCTCAGGCCCCCAGGCCCCGGCTCTGCTGCCTCCTATGTGGTCCCCCACCCGCCTCCTTCCAGCTGTGGAGAGGGCCTCTGCTTTATCATCCGTCTCCTCTCCACGCAGACAGGGCCCCCTTCCCTGCGCTGTATGCCCATGGTCCAGAGCACTGCCTGCCACAAACCAGTGTCCCTCTCTCAGCTGCTCAGGTGCCAGGCTCAGAGGGCTTGCTCAGGGAAGGAGCCAGGGACTGGCACAGGGTGATGGCCAGTTTCCTGCTCTGCGTCCCATGGCCTCCTACAGGGAGCAGGAGGCCTTCCCTGTTTTTAACCCCTCTCCCCCGTGCCCCTCCTTCAAGCCCCTGCTACACTTCCGTGTCTGCCCAGACAGAGCTGTGGCGACGATGGCTGAGGGGGGCTGTAAGACCCTTCTTCCAGGGAGGCCGCTGAGGCACCCAGCCAGCCCTGCCTACCCCAGCAAGTCACTCTCCATCCTGTCCTGCCCCCAACACAGCCCAGACTTAGCCGTCCTCTCCACGTGGAGCACAGAGGGTAAGGGCAGGGGGGCCCCTGGTGGTGGCTCCTTCTAACTGCGGGTGCCGGCCTGTGGGCACTCACCCAAGGCCTCATCATTGTCCTCTGTGTCACTGGCCAGTCGGAAAAGCATGGGCCGCATCCGCTCACAGCGTTGGTAGAGTTCCTGGGGGAAGTGGGGTGGGCGGGTCAGGGCTTCCCGGGATCCTGGCACGGGGTGGGTGTGAGGGGAGGCAGGCACACCTTCATGAGGTCCTCACTGCTGGCTGCAGCCACGTGGCCCTGGCTGTGGCTCATCACCATCTCCGTCAGCAGCTGCACGTTGTTGTTCACCTCCTCGATGGCGTTCGCCCGCCTCGAGATCTTCTCCATCCGCTTCTGGTCCTGTGACACACGGGCATTGGGCCTCAGCACTCTGCCTCCAACAGAGGGCTGGCGGGATGGGCGGTGAGGCCAGGGGGGGTGCCCCAACCTGAGACCCTCACGGGGGCCATGCCTGCTGCGGCCCCCAGCGTGGCCAGAGGGCTCAGAAAGAGCAGGTCACATGACATTCTCACACTGCCGTCCAGAAGGCTGCTCTCCCTGCTCCCTGGTGCTCGCAGAGCTCACCCCCTCCTGCCTGTCCGGGTGGCTCGCCCCCCCCACCCCCTGGGCTGGCCCCACCCTGGGGCTTGCTCTCGCAGAGCACACGGCCAGACTCTCTCGAGGCTTCACTGGGAGAAGACGTGCTGAGCCCAGCGGTCTGCTGGGGGATGTCCGTGGCGGGGGTTCCGGGGACCACCTCAGCTCTGGGTGCTCAAGGATAAGGAACAGGCTGATTCTCCGGAAGCACCAAGTGCCTGCCACTATTTGTGAACCCCGAGAGTTCAGGCAAACTCCTAGAAAAAGTACCTGGAAACCGGACTCCCTGGGCCTGTGCTCCCTGTCCCAGGCCCCAGGTCTGTCCTTGTCCCGGGGCTGCGGCTGTCTGGCGAGTGCCTTTGGGAACAGGACATTTGCATGCTCTGTCTTTTCACTGGTTGTGGTCCCTTTCCCTGCAAACTGGCAGTCTTTTGGTGACAAAGGTCCGGCGTGTGCCCACAGCCTGAGCGTGTTCTCTTGGGCCCGGCAGACACTGCCGCCTCACCGTGAGGCGCTCACATACTGCATGTGGGTCGTCGTCGTGTACAGAAACCCACGCTCACTGCCATCGAGTCAGCTGTGACTCCGCGGGAGCCGCAAGGAGCCAGAACCGCTCCTGTGGGCTCCCAGGGCGTACACTTTACAGGACACCTGTTGTCCTGCAGAGCTGCTGGTAGGTTTGAACTGCTAAGCTTGGGGTTAGTAGCCCAGGGCTTTTTTGGGGGTATGTTTTTTTTTCTTTTCCAGAGGCCCTGGTGGCAGAGTGGGTTATGCATTGTGCTGCTAACCACAAGGCCAGCAGTTCTAAGCTACTAGCAGCTCCTCTGGAGAAGAGGCTGTCCACTCCTAGTCACGGTCTCAGATACCCACAGGGGCAGTTCTACTTTCTCTCAGAGGGGTCGCCCGAGGCTGCACTGACTTGATGACAGTTGAGTCTTTAATTTTTTTGTAAGGATATAATCTCAGACATATATACACCTACACAGGAGCCCTGGTGGTGTAGTGGTTACGAGTTGGGCTGCGATCTGCATGGTAGGCAGTTTGAAACCATAGGAGAGACTGGACGTTCTACTCCTGTACAGTTACCGTCTCAGCACCCCACGGGGGCGCTGTGATCCGTGGCAGCGAGCTTGGAGGCTCTTACACGCGCGCACACGTCTGTCTAGAAACAGCCGCGAGTTGCCTTCAAGGGAACTGCAGCTTCTGGAGGAAGCCTCCCATGTCAGAGAAGGGGCTCCGCAGGGTTTTCCAGGCAGGATCGTTGGGAACTGGATCAGCAGGCCCTTCTTTGTCGTCCTGTCTGGGTGACTCTCAACCTCCCATGTCTGTCTGGCTAGCAGCTGAGGCTCTCGTGCTTATCCGGGTGGTGGTGGTGGCGGTGGTGGTGGCGGCGGCGAGGGGCCAGTGCATGGGTTCTGGTTGAAGTGAGTCATCCACTGCCCAGCCCTGCAGCGCACTCGCACTCGCTGCTGGGTTTGAGCTCACGGTGGCCGCCACTGTGTCCACCCATCTTGTTGAGGGCCTTTCTCTTTCCCTGCCCCTCCACGTTATCAAGCATGACGTCCTCCTCCAGGGACTGGGCCCTCCCGACAACACGTCCAGAGCACGTGAGACAGTCAGTCTCGCTGTCCTGCCCTCTGAGGAGCACTCAGGCTGCACGTCCCCAGACAGGCCTGTCCGTGCTTCTGGCAGTCCGTGGGACGGGAGTAAGCATAGGAAGGCCTGACCGAGTTGTAGCTTTTCGACACCTGAGGCAGAACTTAGGGCAACTTTGCTAAGCAGGCCATTAATTGCACTCTGGAGACCAAGCCCAGAGGGACACAGCATTCCTGGGGGTGGGGGCTCTGAGGCCAGGGGGCAGTAGGGGGAGGTGGACCCTCCCCAACTAGCAGCCCGGTCCCAGGGGGCTCACAGTGGGGCCATTCTTACAGCCTGCCAGAAGCCCAACAGGCAAGGGTGTCCTGGCCCTGCCCACTAAGGTCTCCTCTTCCCCGCAGCAGCCTTTGGCTGGGTCAGTGCAGGGGTCTTTGTACCTCCCCCCACCCCGCTGCCGCCTCCCCGCGCTCCGGCTCAGCCCTTACCTCCTGCACCATGTCCTTGATGAGCTTGTTGGCCGCTCGGAGGTCCTCGGGGTGCGAGCTCTTCAGCAGGCGGGCGAGCACCTGAGGACGCAGCGGGAAGCATCAGGGCAGAGGGTGGGCCTGGGTCAGGAAGAAGGGGCCACTTCCCTCCCCACTTCCTGGCTGTGGGGCCAGAGCAAGGTCCCCAAGTTTTCTGGGAAGCGGAGACTGAAGGACAACAAGGCCTGTGCCTGGGGCTCGTGGTCTCCCTGGCTAGAGAGCGCCCCCTGGAGGATGGACGGAGGATGGAGGGAGGGACGAGCTCCAGGGCTGGGCTGGGGGCGAGGCTCGGTGGCCTCCTTCTCGGCACCCTCCAGGGCCTGCCTTCCCCATGAGCACGCGCCGCTTCAATTAAAATGACTCAGACGGCTACCGTGAGGCTCAGACAGACAGCAGGCCCACTGCCAGGCGCGCAACCCACCTCTGAGCGGCCCGGCAGGACGGCAGACAAACAGGGCGAGCCTGCCCAGAGGGTTTCCCAGAAGCTGCCGGTCACGGCCAAGCTTGAATTGCTGTGCCACCAGGGCTCCGTACACAGACTCGGACACTTGGGATCCGGTCAGCCCATGGCAGCCCTCGAACCGACACCAGGAAACCCTCCCTGCCATGTGAGGGCAGGGCAGGGCACGGAGTGTGCTCGACAAACAGTGCTAAGTGCGCTTGTACGTGTGTCTGCGTCTGTCCTGCCCATCACCCCTGCTGTGCTCAGCAGGCACCGCTACCCAGAGGGCTCACGTGCCCACAGGAGCCCTGGCGGTCCCATTTCTTCCTCTCACCTTGGACTTCTCCTCATCTTCAAAGATGACATTCTTGGCCCTCGGAGCAGGAGCAGGGAAGGTGGCATCCTCAGGCAGCTTGGGGTCAGACTTCACGATCCCTGGGGAGACAGCATGCAGCGGGGGCAGGAGGCAGGAAGGGGGAGGTCAGACTCTCTCCA